TATATATAGATATAGATATATATAGATATATATAGATATATATAGATATAGATATATATAGATATAGATAGATATATATATATATATATCTATTTAATATATGCTCTTTTTGGCTGCGTCACGAAGTGAATTACAGATGTATTTCTTCCACTAAATACTTTAGTATGGCTGCTTGATCTAACCACCCACCTTCTGTGTGGTGGTGTAAACCATGTGTTATCCTTTTGACAAGAAGCACGCTTTCAAAGTGGTGGAGATTTAGCGGTCAAATAAAATTTACAGTTTTCTAACTATGTTCATGGCACAGTCCAACTTTGACAATTCGCTACACTGTGCTTCTTTTCCAAAATGAAATGAAAACTCTGGAAAGTTTGTGTCAGTGTTTACATTTTTCAATACTGGCCTTTTCCAAATGACTGATGTGTACCTTTAGTCATCAGGCTGACTGCATGGGCCCGGTCTGTCCTGAATTTGCCAAGTGGTCCCACAAAGCAGTTGAAAGAGACATCCACTGTTATGCCATTGGCACAAAACCAGACTCCTCTGTTGCAGTCTTTGATGCTTCAACATCATGAGTACCTGTTCAGATGCTCAGCTGAGCAATCTCTCATTTCTATGATCAAAATAGAACTTTTCTGTTAGTCTTGGAAACTGCTTTTTCCAAACACAACAGAATGATAAATTTAAGTTTTCCCCAGTTAAGGCTCTGTTATGTAGTTTTGGTACAAATACTGGTTGTCGCACACTGGTATTATAGTATTTGCTTAATTTCTTTGTGCGTGTGTTGAGAGTGATAACTACCAGAGGAATGAATTATAGCAAATACTGATATTGGTAATAAAACAAAAAGGAAAATTAAAATGAGCTTCTTTGCACTTAATATTGTCCTATGAGCTTGAGATCCCAATTATACAATGATAACTAACCATCCATGCTGTAAAATATCAGAGACAGAAATCATTAAACGTAATGTCAAATACTTGCTGAATTTCACATTTGGATTGATATATCTCTTGTAGTCATCCGTGACCACTGCTACCTAGTGCATCTTATTAAAACTGCTTTTTTGAATATTACCATGGTGCTACCACTCTGGAAAAATCAACTTCATCAGCCATTTTGCAGTGACATCTCGAGCATTTCATATGTAATCTTAGTGCCATTTCATAAGTTTGCTCTTATTTCCAAAAGCTCACGAAAATAACTACACTTACTTTACAGTGGTACTGTGGAACAGTGTTTTGACCCCTGTGGCATAAAAAAAGTTGCAGTCCTTCTAAAATAACTCCATTTTTATTACAGAGATCCTGACAAATGACTCTTATTAGATCAGGGAGTGCCTTTTTTTTTACTCACAGGGCTGAAGAGTTTATTAAATTTGAATGAGGCCTTAAAATTGTAAAAATTGTATTGAATTTAAAGCCATCAGAGGACGTAACATTGTGAAATTGTTGGTGTTGCCACATTTTTTGTGCCTTTTTAAGGAAGTGTGGATTTGAAAGAACTTTTCAATGGCTCAGGAATGCTTGTCTAAATTTGGTCCACCAAATTGTCTGTGAAGGTAAATGCTGGCTTTGAGGCTTTTCAGATTTATCATGCAAGAGCTGTACTTGTAGCTTGCAGACAAATCAAAGGCAGTCGGTGTGTGTAGACAGTGAACTGTTTGCATGAACACCAGTGACATCATTTGGGTTAAGTAGTAGATGTGGCCTGTTGCTCAACATTAGTTTTGCTTTAGCCTAACTGCTAAGACTTGCACAGTAGTTTAATGCACATATAATGGAAAAAGTTTTGAGAGCAGCAAGCATATTGTAACCTCAACTTAGAATACGATGCACTATAAAATACATGTGAAAAACATATGTGAACTATCATACTGCCTTAGTCTTAATATGGCTCTTTCAAAGATAAGCTCGCCACGAGTGTCAGATCCATGATAATTTATTGTATGACACATCCCACTGGATTTAAAGAGTAACTTGGGTATTTTTCAGCCTGGACCTTATTTTCCCATGTTATGTCAAAGTGACTAATGGGCACAGGTTTTGAATTTGGTCAAGCCTGCAGCTGCGAAATGGGCTACAACATAGTCATTGTGAGCAAATGCGCAGTGTTTAAAATTAATTCAATAAAAGTACTTGTTTTTGCCACTGACCAGCTCAGATTGTTGTTATAATTAAGTGTATGACACCGTGACCCCACAGAGACATTTAATGTTTTCTATTCCTTTGGCTTCATCAGCTGATGGTCTAACAAATTCTTGCTCAAGGAGACGTTTTGATTTTAAAATCTCAGGAGAGGTCACTTGTTGCAGGAAGTCAATAGTGGAAAGTACAGAGTACAGAAAGCATAGCTTAGTGTTGTGCAAAATATTGTCAATGACTTTGCTGAATATTTAGCGGATGTTGACATTGTGGATGATCACCCATGTTTATTAGTGGTAAGTATAGAGACTGGCGGTGTTCCAGTGGGTGCTATGACCCTATGCCCACAGAGAATATTTCAGACTGAGGCAGTATAAGCTTTTATTCAGTTTGTTTCATTGATCACACAGTAATGTTGACTGAAAGAAAACCACTGGCACTCGTACCAGTCCCAGTTCTTGCCATCTAATCAATAAAATCCCTTGTGTCTGCGGTGTGCCCTTGCTTTATAGCCATCCAAAATGCACATATATGGATGCAAACAGACATGTAATTTTTCTGGAAGATTGAGCCAATGATGGATTTTTGTGCCACACTGAGAACAGAATTACAGTGTGCTGAATTGTAAACATTGGCTCATCAAAAGTAATCTTTCCTGCACTTTCTGGCACACTCTCATGCTTTCATCTCTATTTTCCCCTTTCAATTGTTTTTCTCTTCTGCTGCTTTGGTGAATGTCAAAATGTTGTTGAGTTTCTGGTTGGGGTTCTGCCCTTGACATGAATATGACACAAAGATAAACGTTGAGGACAAAATGTTCACTTTGACTTACTGTTGTATATAATTTTGTGTACGCAGGTTGGAACCCTGCGATTCTGCGGCAGCACTGAGTTCTCTGGAGGCCTCTGGGCTGGAGTGGAGCTGGACAAATCAGAGGGGAAGAACGATGGCTCAGTAGCAGGGGTTCAGTATTTCACCTGTCGAATGAAACATGGTGGGTAATGCCACAGACCAGCACTTAAAGCTCAAACACCTCGACTCAGCTACCTGCTTCATCAGTTACCTCCACCATTATTGACTTTATAAGACTTAATTTGTCCAATCAGTGGTATTTTATCCAACCCCAGGAAATAAGATTGGTCCTTTTTGTCAATTGTCACTAAATTGAATGTATTCAAATTAGCATATTCAATGTGTCTTAAACTGCTGTTTTATTTTTTTTAGTCTGTATACCTTTAATCACCCATAATCGTCTGACTTGTGTATAGTTATAATCATTTGATATCATATAATCAATATTTTTTTTCCTCAGGAATCTTTGCTCCCCTCTCTAAAATAAGTAAACCTCTGGAGAGACATAAAAACAGCACCACAAAGACGTCTACACCCATACGCCCACCTCGTCGCATTGACCTCTCCCGCATCACCTCCAAGATAAACACAGGTAAGGAACAAGTTGCAAAACTGCTAATAACACTTCTGAACATTACTGCCTAATCAAAATCTGACATTGATGTGTTTGTATTTGGTCAAAATGTAAAGGATTCATATGGTATATGTATACATGTCATACAAGAATTGTAAGAGCTGTTTGCTGAGAGAGATATGGATGGTTGAGCACTGCTCCACCTGGCTCTAGTCTTATGATTCAAGCTGTGCTCAGGTTATATCAGGTTGACTAAACATTGTCAGCGTGGGAGCTGACCTGCAATGGGCTTTGAGAAGTTTGGGAATGGGTTTGCGAGAGGAGTTCTGGCACAAACTACTGTAAATAAAAAAAAAAAAAGACATGAAATTATCAAGTCATAACAAGAACTACAAAGGCAGTGAAACTGAATAGCCTGTAGGGCCCTAAGGGTGAAGAAATGTGTGAACTTTTGTAAAACAGGTGTAAAAGATGTCACAGGGGCAACGGTTTCTTCATGTCTTAGTTAATCTCATGTACAGTCCCCTGGAGGAGACCAGTGGATAGATTATTAGAGACCACATGTCATATAAAACATAAAAGAACTGCACCAACCTCATAGAAACACATTTAGGAGTAACAATATTAGTCCGAAGAATGACTTCCTAATATTGGCTGTTAGTTGAAGAAATTATTCAAGTGCACTCACTTTAGGGCGTTTGGGACATGAGCTAAGAGTACTAGCATCAATAGAAATGGTGGCTTGTGCTTATCCCTTTTTTCATTACCTTGGAAATGATGTGCTGAAAATGACAGAAAAAGTGGTAATAGCCGCCCATTCCGCACTAAATGGATTACAGCATTGTCCACATCCTTTGTGATATTCTAGTGAGTCTTAACCAACCCTCTTTCTGCTATATAACTAATGTTGTCATAATGCACAGTAGTGCAGTAGTTTAATTTCTCTAAACTAGTTGCACTGACATTCTCCCCGTCACTGTGTAGTCAGTAGAATATTCTTTAGAATCAAAACATTTATTGGTACAGTTGTAAGGAGTATGGAGGATCCAGGAGGGAGACAAATTCCCCTGAAATCAATAAAAGTAAAAAATTGAGGGTCTCAAAATGGCAGTCTAGTTCTCTAAATATCTCCACCTAATGTAATTTGTACTCTGTGATTGCATCCAGTTCATGGCAAGAGAAGGTCGGCTTGTGAGACCAGATAATTGCAGTTTGTTTTTGCTACCCGCTGGATTACTTCACCAAGCCAAAGAAGTGGCTTTTGGTTTAAAATGTGAATATGTGCAGAAAATGACGTCTCTCTTGTCTAATAACTTAGTGGAGGGGACAAGCTATGCTATGTGTTTTGTTGTCTGTATTTAATTTTAATGTTGTACTTACATTATCATCTCCTACTTAGTCAGTTAGATATACACAAACAGTATGTCCAGTCTTAATCTCTTGGGGGTAATCGTATACAGTATTACAGTAAGTAAATCTAATCTTAAATATAGTTTTTGTCTCTAATACTATTGATCTGGCAAATAAAAATTATTATCCAATATGCATGGACTATGTATCTATATAGTAATCGGATTTAAAAGAAGTCTTTGTTGCTGTATTAATGGTAGTTCTTGTGGGGACACAGTAATTCTAGATACCAAAATGAATGTCCATACTGACATTTTTCCTGCTGACACAGTGGGCTTTTAGCTTGCTAAGGAGGGACTGAGTCACTCCACAGTGTCCAGATGAGGCCATCGGCTGAATCACAACTCCAGCTGATGGCCTCTTTTGTGCCAAAAACAGACTTTCTCAACTTTACTAGCCTGTATGAGCCATGTCACTGCATTGCAGGATTTATTGCATCTGGGCTTTCATATTAATCTTCCTTGAATGCTTTGAAAAGTGGATTTTGAACCAGTGCCAAAGGACAATGCATAAATTAGACTGCTGACAAGACCTTGATCTCACAGTCCTTGGATGCTCATATGCTCAGCTCCTGACTAATGTTGTCTCATAATATAGTCCAGTCACCTCAGAACATTGTAGAAACTTTGTCATGCCAGGTTTTTGTGGGTCTTGCACCCTCTAGGGTTTACAGCTATATTGCGAAGGTGTAATATTCAAAGGTTTTAAAGGCCGATTGATCTGGACGTGACTGGAATAGCGGACCTCAGAGTGGCCTATGGAATTTGGTGATTGATAGTCCAATTAAGCAGGGTTTAATAACTAGGGCATAGACAGGCTGAATAGCCTGGCAGCCATTCATCACAAGGTGTGTGTGAGTGTGTTATATGTATGGCATGCAATGCATGTGAGGGCGTGTGTGTCAGCACCTCTATACAACCCAGGAATCAGACAAATTTATGACCAAACACTTTTCAGGGCCTTTGTCAGCCATTTATAGGCCAAACTCTCAGAGCCACCTGTGCTTTAGCATCCCATTGGCTCAGCAGTGCAGATTGCTCGTGTGTATCTATAGATTGGATGAGTCATTGTGGAACTGTCTCGTCTCCCTAACCAGGGGAGACAGACACAGCAGAATGCCAGGCTGGCCCCTATTAGAGTGTGTCAGCTGTAGCTCAGGCCTCAAAGGGTGGTGGAAACATAGACAGCGCTCACAAGGCACCACTGCTTGATTCAGAAAGGCTCAGTCTGTGCTGCAGTCTGTCATTTGAAGCAAACGTCAGTATGTGGAAGGGATAGATAGAGCCAGGAGGTCCCTGCAAGCTAAAGGTCAAGTGACAAGAAATGTTTGGCATTCTGAGTTGAAATGTACTCTCCTCCTTTGGAGTTCAAAGGAAAGACACAAGTCTGCCTCTGAGGGGAGCGTTTCCCAGCTCCCTCTAGATGTGAACCGAAATGGCAATCAATAAATCCCAGGCAGATTTGAAAATTTCTCTAACGCATTTTCAAAGCACAATATAAAGTGTAAACTTATGTGACACATTGACTTGAGAGTAATGTGTCACAGTTTATGTAGCAGATTTATGTATGAATTGAGAGAGGTGATTATTTTTTTTCCCTTAAACCTGTTTAGATTCATAGATGTTGACTTTATTGCCTATTAAATAACAGGCTCTAAAAGACCAATGTCAGTTTAATGGCAGATTTAATTAAAGTCAACAAACTATATAAAAAGCTTGAAGTTGTGGTGCGATAAACTAAAGGACACAATTATGTTTACTTCTGCAAGAAATGTTATTTCTCATTGTGTGCTTTTTGAGTCGGTACCAAGATTTTCTTTTGAAGTTGTTGTTTTTTTTCTTTTGTATTCACTGTCATTGGGGCCTTTGTGTGGGTGCTTGTCTCAGCATATACATGTGTTTATTGTGTGTTAGAGTAAAAGAGACAGTCTTTGTCCAATCAAGAAGAATTGCCTTTCAGTAATTCTTGTTTCATTGCTACGACAATGTCCTGCTGCCCTTTTATTTGCATTTCATCACTCCCCAGCTCTTGTATTTTATCTCTCCAGTGTAGCTTTTTTGTCTCTGACTTAAACTCTTCCACTCTTAGAGTGCTACACTGTGTCTTCTTAGCTTGTTTGTAATTCTCTTTATTTCTCACTTTATAAAATGCCTTTCAAGTTTCAACTCACTCTACCTATGTTCAAAATATATTATAACAGTCCTTCATCAGATACACCATGACAACTGTAGAATATAAATATCTTTAGCTGTCAAACGAAACTAATGTAATTATTTTACTATTTTAAGTTGTCAAAGTGACTTTGAAATTGTACAAACATTCTAGAACTTTGATGTTACATAATTTATGTCATCTATTAATCTGAGAACTTTATTTAAGTTACTAAAGCGTGACTGTGTCCGTTGTTTTTTTCTGTTTGTGTGGGTGGAAGGTTTATCTCCATCTGTCAAAAAAACCCTTGGTAATCAAAAAAGTCCACCTGGTCCCAGTCAGGGCACAGAGGGAGATGCCTCAGTGACAAGGACAGGTACTGCAGTCACAGCCGAGTGGGCTTTAAATGAATGTACTATGTATCAGGGAACAGGGTGTAGGAGTGAATTTGCACTATTTAGTATAATCTCTTTGGTTTAAACTGTGGAAATTGTTCAAATCTTAGTTCCACACACTCCTAATCACACCTGTCTCTGATAATAAGTGCACCTTAATACTTGAATCCAACATCATTATCCATCTGTGGGTAGTGTGAACCATCAGTGCCTTTTATAAAAACATCGCTGTATCCGTTAGTGCTGCATTTGCAATTGCAGCATGATTAAGATCAGAAGTCTGATCTGATTGGGTGTTATGAAACACAGAATATTGAGCACAATTTGAATTCCAGATATCTCCCTCAACCCGAAAATACAATATGCTTGCAGTTGTGATCGTTATGCGTGAAACTAAAACCACACCGGTGATCAATTATGGCGACGAGGGATTGATTAGCTCAAAGCTGCTTATTCTGTTATTTCTCTTTAACTGTTATCTCTATGCATTGCCATCGACTCCTAGAGACTCATTAGCTAAAGCTTACTATTGAAAACATGTTTTGGCAAAGGTTGAGAAGTTTTTCGCCCGTCACTGTCTGGGTACCAATTTCTTTGTAGCTGAATATTGCCTGTGTCTTAAAGCACTTTGGCAGAGATTTCATGAATTAGCTTCTAAGAGTTGGGCACTTAATGAACTCATGGCCTGTGAAGTTCTGTGAAAGTTAAAAAAAATGTATGAGGTCCAGCATCCAAATGGCTTCTTGAGAGTGAAATTGGTCATCCCCCTCTTCCACATCATTCCCTGAAGTTGGGAGGGAATTAGCATGTTGGCCCATCATTGGACCTTAGTAACAGGACAAGCAACTGTAAAAGATTGAGTTCACTTGATTTATGCTGCCTTAGAATCATGTGACACAGCTGCTTGGGTTTCTGAAAAATGACAGTTGTAATTGTCTGGATCGAAGGGCTGTAGGCGCAGTCACATTCAGATGAATAAAATATAAAATGCAAAAAAAGGATGAGCTTCATTATTTCGATGGAATTAGTCCCTAAATGGATGGATGGTGGGTTCAGTATTAAGAGGGGAGACACACGGTTTGTGTTGTGTGATTTTAGACAGCAGAATAGAATAACAATATTCACAACTAATGTCCCAGTAGAGCCTAGATGCAACAGTTTTGAGTGTGACTTTTTGAATGATGATGTCAAAATAGTTGTCCTAATAGAAATAGATATTAATTATATTTCTCTATCAGTCACTTGTTGTGTTGAGTTTACCTGTCCCCTGTGTTTCCTGCCACTCATTCCTCTGTGTCTTTTTCACCATAGGTGTTCTCTCCCGCTCTCTCTCCTCTTCGTCCTCTTCACTGGATTCTCGGCATGGTCCAGGTGCCCGACCTCGTCCTCTGCCGAGGCAGCGTCTTCCTCCGAGGCCCCGAAGGGAGCGTGTTTCCCTGAGTCCCAGGACTGCGCCCTCACCGGCCCTCCGGTCTTCTCCTGATAGCACTGCACTTACTACTGCAGGTCTCTATTATTGTTTATCATATACTGTATAACACTGATTTAATGAAAATCACATTTCAGGATTTTGTCATGGATTCAGATTGAGGGAAGTAATTGTCACAGGAGTGAAACACTTTTTTTTCTTTTCTTTTTTATCTCTCCCAGGTCTTCGAAGCCGAACCCCCTCAGCTAGTAGCTCTGTGTGTGGGGCCCCTGAGGTGCGCCTGGGGGAGAGGGTGCTTGTGGTAGGCCAGAGAACTGGTGTAGTCCAATTCTATGGAAAGACCAGATTTGCTCCAGGTCAGTTGTTAAAATTTGTGTTCTCCCTGCAAAGATTTGACAGCTGAAATCTCACTAAAATTGCATATTATGACACATACTGAACTATTAATCCACTCTTGATTTGGTAGCTGCAGCGTTTTCTGGATGGCTATTCAATCACTTGCCTGAATTATTAGGATAAAGATGTTATTCAGCTTAACATCAACTGGTGGTTAATGTGATTATTTGAAATGTAAATGATATGTGCACATGCATATTGAAATGCTCTCTGAAGTTTCATTTGCAAGGGATTTCCTCCAATTATGCACAATCAACAAACTAGCTTATTGCCCAGTTGGGTTGTTCAGAAGTTCCTACAGTTAAACAAATTAAATAATTATTTCATAGTTAACACCAAGCACTGATACTGATTCAATAGACTGCCTATTGAATGTATTTACAGGTGACAATCTGGATAACTTTATTAGCATAATACAGTAAATGTGTTTATTGTCATACCATTAGGTTTAATAAAAAAACATGCGAGGTTTAAAGAGGACCTAACGCTACTCTCTGGAAAAGTTTGAGCCTTATTAGTGTTGAGTATATGGCACCATGAGTTTAGGAGAGAAAAAAGCCTTCAAAGCCTATCTAAAATATTTATTATCCCCTTTAATAAGTCCTGGCTGTCCTTCCTTTGCTGTTTTGAGGACAGACATTAAAGAAAACTGCAGTAATTACAGTTCTTTATGTTTGTGTTAATGTTTGCCTAAATGCATCCTGCTATTTTTAATTGAGCAGCAAACTTGTGAGCTGGTGGTTTTTGACCCAATAAATTGTGGTGATTACACAGCTTAGGTTAGGTTATAGCATTAAAGATGATCTTTTTTAATAATACATTAAAATAAGAGGCTTCAGAGTCAAGTGGCTCTCTGCTGAAACATAACCAAATAAAGTTAATATGGTTGACTATTAACTTAACAGCCAACAAGATAATATTTAAGGGTTCATTTTTCTTTTTTTACAAATGCCGAATACATTTTGTCTAAAGAAGCAAGGATCAAGGATGAGGAGTTGTTTTTTAAATGTAGAACCTGCCTTTGCTCACCTCTAGTTGATACACCAAGTTCATGCTTTGTTCTTTTTGTAGCAGGTAATGTAAAAATTGTTTGCATAGTTGTTCATCCTCTCTTCATCATAATTGTACAATGAGTCACATGGAGAAAGTGGTAACTCCTTTTAGCTATTCATTTTAAACTTACATGAGCTGCATTACAAATTCAGTCACAAGTCACTGTGTTGGCAAACCTTGAGTTGGACAGAAAATACGAGAAAGCTGCGCCTGAGCAAAAGCCATTGAAACTCAGACAGAAAGTAGCTCGCATTATTCATTAATATTTAGGCACTAGTTCTGCCCAGGCATCAGTCATGTATGAATAAGTACTAACGTATCTCACACCACTGAGGATCATGTTTGAAGGGATTTCAGTCTTAAGTTTCCTTTGATACTTTTAAATCAGTGCTAGCAATGCTCTGTTATCTTAGCACATTGAGGACTGAGTCTCCATACCAAAAGCAGCTCTTCTTGCTGAACACTTTGCAGTAAATTTACTTCTTTTTACATTTAGTCTATTTCTTTATGTGGCACATGCAAGGTGTCATAAAGTCATTATAAAGAGAAAGGAGAGAGATGCTTTGAACTTGTATCTCAGGGCAAAGACTGAAAAAGCTAAACAGTTTATTATTATTTATTTAGAAGCCATTTAAGAGGGAGCGCTGTAAAGCACAAATATTGGCTATGTTGCAGTGTGTTGTAGACCAAATGACAGGGGTTTTGCTTTTACATCTTTAGCACTGTGTTAATGAATTTAAGCACCGTGAAATCTGAAACATAAGTGTATCACTGCAAATTACAAGACAGAACATTTTCCATGTAGATAGCTCTCTAATAATGTTACCCCCTTTACACATCTGATATTTGCAGTTTCCAACATTAAATGATAATACACTTTTTTCTTTGTTAATTTAATATGTGATGTTATGTATGTTATACAGAAGTGAGCCCAAGATTTCTGGTGTGTCTTTCTGTCGCTGCAGGACTCTGGTTGGGCATTAAACTGGACAAGCCAAGTGGTAAGAATGATGGATCAGTGGGAGGAGTGAGGTACTTCAGCTGCCCACCAAAACATGGCGTTTTTGCTCCTCCGTCTCGTGTTCAAAGGTGAGTGCAGGCCCTTTAGGGTAGCTTTTCACTAATGCTCCCTTTTTGGTATTTACTAGTGGTCAGCCATGGAAGCAAAAACAGATTTGTCAAACAAGTATCAATACTTTAAAGTTTAGAGTAGATTTTTTAAGAAATTGACAATATGCCCTTAAAACCCTGAGGTTGTGTTTCATTGCCCTCATCAATACATCTAACGTACATAGACGTACGAACATAAATAGAACAGATATACCTGTATTTTACTCAATACGGCTGATAACTAAAGCTTTTTACATTTTTTCTTCTGTTTTACATGCATAACTACAGTGATTGTGTGTTCAGCTCAGAGTGCTGCCAAACACCTACACAGCAGTACTGTGCCTGAACGCATCTTCTATAAATGACAGAGAACTGAAATTGCTAATGGGCTGCTTAACAGCCTGTGTAGACTTTGTGTAAGTTCATGTAAGACCTCAGCGGCATCATTCAAAGCATCAGACCACAGGTCATTTATTCCTAATGTTTCATCAGGCCAAAATATTGCCACTAGTGTTATGCTGTGTGGTGTGTGTGTCTCTGTCAGACTGGCTCAGCTAAGGTGAATTCTTAACCCCTCCTTATATCATTATTTTTTTTAATTCTTATGTCACAATTATATTTCTAGACAAAGTAATATGGCATAGGTCAGTTTGGCATGTATTTTATTTTCACTTTAAAGCTAATGGTTTTGTTTTCATCTTTTGAAGTGGTTTGTTCATACATCACTGTAATCTGGGGTTTAATATATGGAACAAAATAAAAGATTGATGTTGTATACTTGCAATAAATAGTTTAGAAGATGTTTCTAGATGTAGTGTTCTGTACTTTAATGTAATCATTCTATGTAACTACCATGTTTGATTGTGTTACTTGAATGAAATGATATATAGGCATGTTAGTAACTTTGGTTACATTAGGAGCCTGTTGTTAGTGGTTATGTTTAATTTTTCATACATTTTAATTTTCCAGGATATTTTGTATGTATGTACCTAGAGTTAGGCTAAATAAATGGAAGATTAGAGATGGGTCTGTGATTATTCAGTATTGAAGGATCCAGGTTGCCCCCTTTAGAAAGGGCTTAAAAACTGCAGTTTTAATGATTTTGGAAAAATTCCTGATAGGAGTGAGCTGTTGATAGTTTTCAGCACATAATTTCTAAGCAACTGAAAGCATTTTTGAAATAGCTGTTTGGCAGGGTGTCAAAACAGCAGGTGGATAAATTGAAGAGCTTCTCCAGGGTTCTAGCATTGATGGCATTGCATATTGACAATCTGACCAAATTGTGAATGAAACAGTGGTCTGGTTCCATTGTTTGGTAAGCAGGAATGTATAGCCACTCTAATATATTTGATTATTTCCACTAATAAAATATACATTTATTGAGAGGAAAGCAGGGGCTAAATGTGTTGGGGGATTAGTTAGCTTCTCAATGGTGGTGAACAAAGGTTTGAGAATTGTTAATATTACTGTTGATGATGTTACTGAGAAGGGCTTGTCTAGTCTTATTTCAGCATTGTAAATAGAAAAGGATATAGTAGATGTTGTGGTAGTAGTTACAAGGCTCTCTGATGTGTGCAATCTGGTCTGGTCATGCATTCAAGATAGCAATTCCTAACTAGACATGCAATTATAGTAAGCATATGCAGAACCAGAAAGCAGAAAAACACCACATTATGCACATTTCACTTGTGTGTTTTTGAACACAGATGTGATGCTTGTAATAACAATGCAAGTCAGTAGATAAAAAATAAGGTCTTACAAGTGGATTGATCAGAGTGACCTAAAATGTTAATGGTTTATGAATACATTTCCTGTAGTCAAGTACTCTTGGATCATTGTCATTTCATCATTTCAACTTGAAACCTTCTGGTGAAAACACAGATTTTAAGTCATTTCAGATATTTTGTGCATCACTTGCGGTTTTGGATCCTCTCAGAAATGAGTCTACAAATTGTAGATTAACTGCACTTAATAACAGTATAAGTGGCAGAACTGTGGAAGTATCTATATTCACAAACCTGCAAATATTCGCTTTTTTGCGTTTCTCATTCAATTCCTGCTTCAGTGTATGTGCATATTGTGCTGTCGATTCATAAAAAAACAGCAGTTGGCAATATTGGAGCACTATTATAGAAATGTAAAACAGCCAATTAAGTAAATGTACAGTTGGCACTTTGCCTACTTCGCTTTCCTATTAATCATAGTGTGGCAAATTTTTGGCCCACCATTAGTTGTCATCAGCTCGACTAGTTGTGTCTGTAATGGCTTACACATGGAAAGAAAAGCGGGCATAAACTGTCGCAAAGAATATATGCGCGTGTGTTGAAGCTCTTCTGTTTACCTTACCAATTCTGTAGAACTCTACTGGAGTGATGAACACTATTCTTCCAAATCATTCCATCATTTTGTGTTTTAATGTTGCTGGAGAGTGCTGGATAACTTGATGCTCCAAAATCTCCCATCAGTGTCAGGTGTGGTCACTGTGAACAACACCACGAGTCACATGATTTCAATTGGTCACCCATCTGTACATAGCTCCAGATCTTTCATGAAGAAGACCAACTGCAGAACTCACTCGATAGTTTGATACTAGATACACTAGTAGCAAAATAAAACCTTGCATGATATGGGTGTGAATAGAGTTGCCTTATACAGACTCATTACCTATTCTATCTCTGTATCAACAAATATTTCAGCATGCAAGACGCACATATATGCAATGTCTAACTTTTAGCATTGGATTTTAAGTATGAGTTGTTTCTTTAGTGCCAAATATACTGTATCTTTAATTCATCCTTTAAATAAAAGGATTATTTATGGTTTGCTCAGTTATGTATTTAACATCACTTTAAATTTGGACAGACTCACTGGTGGTGTTTGGATGTTTTTGCATGCAGTAGACAGCTAAACCTTCTTTTCCAAGTCGCAGTTCTGTTTTTACCTTTATTTGTTCTCACCTGTGTGACGCACACATAGGAACCACTTCCATACGGCACCCACGTTGGCCTGTTTAAAGAGGGCACGAACAAAAGGAAATTCCACCAGAGGCCTTATTATTTCTGCACATCAGTTGGGCTTGCACACTACACAGACAAAGTGTTGACTAAACAGATGCATCAAGTGCCAAGGTGGCTATTTATGGACATCATCTAATCCTGGGGGTATGGAAACCCTTGTCTGACATACATATTCACAAGCCACTAAGTTATTCACTGCTAGGCATTGTTTTGTTCTTATTTCACATTTCCTTCAAGTGGAGGAGAACTATTGACCTTTGTTATTGCATGGCACGTTAACAGCACAATGCCTCAAGTATATAAAGTGTGTCATAAGGGAAAGAAAGCCAGTTTAAAATGCAGTTGACATCCAAAGTACTAAATGTATTTATTTTAAAGGAGAGACAGGATCTCCATATTTGAGGGATTGCTGGTTAACTTCCGTCTTTCTACTGAGATATAATTAGTTGCTTCATCTCAATAAAGATCTACCATTGAAGGAGTTCTCTTCTTCTCTTCCTATGTCTTCATTACCCTGCCTATTTTCCTGTTGTTTTTAACCCACTGTTTATGTCTTCCATGAGATAAAAGCTGCTTTTTGGAAAGTCAGTCTGTGTTTTCCTGCCATCCCCTATTCATGTCCTTTCCTCTCTTCTGTTTTCTCCTAATTAACCCTGGGGCACATAGTGAGCTCACCTGAGAACATGGTTTCCCTCCGTCTAATGGAGAATCTCACATTCTCTCCATCCTGCAACTTCTTTCTCCTTCTCTTTTCTTCTTCTGTCAGCAGATATCACAACCCATTAGGAAAACAAACAGCTTTTCTTATGTGTGTGTCTCACCACTCCCCCCCCCCCCCCCACCCACACACAAATCTTTGTTTCTCTATCCCTCCACTCACATCCCTTAGAAAACAAGGTAACACCTTTTTTCTCTTTTGCTCATTTCTCGACAATGGCAGTCTCCCTCTTAATGACTTTCAGAGCTCTAATGTTATTATAGTCACACAGCGGTTTTAGAAGACATCAATAAGCACGACTGGTGCTTTTGTGCAAGCAGCAGAATTAAAATTTATTTATTTTACCCTTGTTGCTGTTTTCAGAGGGGGCCGTCATCAGATGCAGGCCCATTGAAGTCTCATCCATTACTCATGCTGAAATGATGTGGGCTGGTTTTTACATTTTCAAAATGGATATATAATGATAATAATATTTTATAATTCTCTGTATTGTATGAAGTGAAGTATGACTGAGTTTATCTCTGGGTCAATGTCAGTGTAAGTTGTCTAAAGTTTCGAGCTCACTGAGGATCACAAATGTTCATGGAGGTATATTATGCTATTAACATGTTTCTTTGTTCTCTCGTTACTCACAGGATCCATGGGTCTGTTGATTGCCTTTCAGAGCTCTCCTCCTCACGCCTCAGTCAACCTCACAGTGGTGAGAGTTCTGCCTTCATTGCAACCTATGGCTGAGATTTATTTGAGATGTGTCTTTGCATTTATTATTCTGCGAGTGCTGCGAGTCATTATTATGCAAGACTCTGTGAGGGAGTACTTGACTCTTGTGCTTGCTGTGCAGGGACAATCCGTCGCAGCCTCAGCACATCATCGGCCATCGCCACCCCGAAAGAGACAAGCAGAAGAAGTCCTGTTACTAGGTATGCCTCTTTTCCAAACAGCCCTCACATTTCACCCTCCCAAGCTTTTCAGCTTTATCCTAATCCCCCGCAGCAGTGGCAGAATCAATACTAATAAGAAGCAGTGGTGTTAGTCAGCAAAGGTTCCTTTTTTTTAAATGGCCCATGCATGATTGTGATTATAATGAGAGACAGCAAGGAATTGAAGATCAATCCCTCAAACACCAAGCTGCCATGAATCTCCCACTTACTCTTAAAGTGTCCTCTCACACTGCATACCTTTTCTCATAAATCTTTCTTCCCTGCATTTTTCCCTGTGCTTCTACAATTCATCTAAAAAAATCAAAAAGGAGTCGTTCCAACCCTCACCGTCGGCGCTGGAGCACCCTCAGCGGTGGTGTTCCCGGGAACACGGCAGGGTCCAGTCCCACACCCAGCTTTGACGGACAGGTCTGCCTCCATGTAGGCATGCAGGTCCTGCTCACCAGCGCCAACGAGATGGCGTTCATACGTTACCTGGGCACTGCAGACTTTGCTCCGGGCCTTTGGCTCGGTCTGGAGCTCCGAAGCCCCAAGGGCAAGAATGACGGCTCTGTGGGCGGCCGCCGTTACTTCACCTGTCGACCCGGCCACGGCGTTCTGGTCCGTCCCAGCCGCATCACCTATCGTGGAATCAACGGTTCTCGGCTGGTGAATGAAAACAGCTGAGGCCTGTAGGAACCAGGGCGGGGAGGTGTTTTGAATTTCTGTTTATGAAACTTCTTGTTCTTTTTTGCGTTTCACATCATTTTCTCATTCATATAGTTATTTCTCTATGCTGAGTAACAGTAATAAACCTGCTTAATAATAGTTAAAATTTAAACTACTAGATTTAGTTTTTAGAAAAATGTAGGAGGCAAAGGAAGCACTTTATAGAATTGACTTTAAATTCTTATTAGAATTTGTCTTGGCAGGATGAAGAGGGGAAAAAGTCTTAATAGGACATAAAACACTGCACTACTTTAATCTGATTGCCCTGACAAACATCAGTATGAGACCGGGATGGTATGGATGTGCACACATGGAAAACTATTTCTATACCCAAAGCTAATTCTGATTACATCAAATAAAGATTTTTATCAGATAATTTAGGTGGTAATGTAGCCTACTCTAACCAAACGGGTGCATGTGTAGTTAAGAGCACTTTGAAACAGGAGAGATTGAATGATTTTTACAGGGTCGTCACAAGGCTTTCAGTTATCTATGATCTATGAACACTGGATCTTTACTTTATGAATCAATGTGAATTAAGCAAGATTTAATAAGCCTACATCTCTATCAATCTCCATCAGAATACACCTGCATCAACGGAAGTCGTTTTCTCCTACGTACATCAGTCACTGCCACAGGCTGTCTATTAAGCCTACACAGATAAATGATGGTTACATCGTGCTGTGCACATCAAAAATACCTACCTGTTGCCCCTTTGGCTTTGATTCCGTTATTGTTAGCTGTTGACATTGTTGAGGCAGGCACACAGACTATTAAATAACACACTGAAGGTTCCCTTGATACATTTAATAAAGGCAGAATGAGGAGGATATTTCTAAAAAACAAAACATATAGTGTAGTAGAAACGTATAGTCTTGTACAAAAAAAATCTCTCAATCATCACTCTCGACCCTCTAGCAGTGTCGGTATCTATAGAGACCCTGCCCTCTGCCTGTATTTTCTTATTTTGTTGTGTCTGGGGTATTTTGAGCGTCAGTGGATGTGTAGCCCTGAGTTAGCATGCAGGGTGTGAGGTTGAAAAACTATAAAGATGTAGTGACCAGAGGCCTGTAATGCGAAGCAAGTTAACATACCCACGATATCTTTTTCTTATCTGGCTTTACTAACCCTAACAACCGCATGACAGTAGTAATCAACTCAGTAAATCAACCCAGTTTCCCAGTCTAGCCATGAGTGCGTTCACCTAAACAGGGCGGTGTTTACTGCATATGACCAATCTCAAATATGGACAAGTAGTAGCCGAATGTTACAAATGAAGCACAAACAATAATATTAGACATACAAAGAAGTTGTACAAAGAAATACAAGGAAGAAAGAACAGATAATCCAACTCAGTTGCAGTTGAAGAGAAACTGGCAACGAAATGGAGACTGAATGGGTAAATTAATAGGCTCATAACATCACTGCCTCATCATCAGGGCACGAGTAGATCTGACTATAATTACATTTGTGCATTTTATTAAAATAATGTGTTGCTTAGATTTATTCTTATGGTGTGTATGACAATCTTAGCCTCATTCTTTCAGCTGCAACGTCGTGGGTGTCGGCTTTTTAAAATGAATCTCATTAAGCAACAAAACCAAAAATCCATTAATGCCAAAAAAAGATGCTCAAATAGTGGTTGAAAATTTACTGAAAACTCACCCCCCTTACCAGCACCCAAATTGAGGTGGGACGGTACATGAGCAGGCACACCTAAAGTTCTAATTCATATTAACCTTATTTACTGGAACAGCAAAATATATCCTCATATAACATAATTAATATTATATTAATTAACATAAAAAGAAAAAAAGAAACCTTTACTTTTAAAGGCTGTGTCTTAAAAAATATATATAAACATAATTGAAAGTGGTAAATAGGCTTACTTTCATATATCTTTGCCAGTCTCTGACCACTCTCCAATTAAGAGACTCTCACAATCCTCGCACCACTCCACAGGATCAATAATCAATACATCTGGGATCGTCTATGAATGATCTCATTTTCGAAGAGAATTGATTGGTCATGGAGGCTTTTATAGCACTGATTTCTTATCTCCAACATAACAGGTTCGCTGTTCAGCGCAAGTTGCCATGGTGATATACCGCATTGTGAGGCTGAAAACCTGAGGTTAATCCTGAAATTACCTAACTAACCCCAAATCTTGCTTCACAGTACAGGCCCGAGGTGCCAGACCCTAAGTACGCATCCAAGAGGAGGCTTATGTGTGCGTCTGATGTCGCCAAGCCGGGGTGGAGGGTCCAACTTTAAATGTTTACATGCTACAACTGACAAATCTTACTCATTCTGCCTTAAACTTCAGCTTGGAATACACACACACACACACACACGGGTTGAGGATTCAAGCCTCTTTCCTTCTGAGTGAGTGTCAGAACTGTCACAATGTCACAATGTCACATTTTCAATTTTTACAACCTGAATGTGAAGAAACCTGAATGTGGTCCTGTAGTTTGAAATCTATCAGACCTGACAGCTTTTCATTACAGTATGGTATCATTGCATTATGTTGTTGAAGACCACATTTCAGAGCATTGGATGTGGCATAATTGTATTTGACGCTTAATTAAAGCAGCTTGACACAGGAAATATGCAATCATCCAGAAGTTTCAGGGATAAGAGTTTGCGATTTGATTAGAGCCATCTGGGCAACTCAGCAGAGAACAAGCCATCGATTGTGCATGTGGAAAACAGGCCCACTATTCAGTAAAACACTCATGTACCATCCAATTAGGGCGTGTAGGCCACAACAGTAGCTGTAGAATCTCGAATGGCCTTCTCTCATTGATCTGTCTGGTCAGGCCCCCTGTGATTGAAAAGCAGTGTTGGTTGCCCAAGGTTGTCTAAAATATCTGCCACAGCCCTCACAGATGAAACGAGTGAGCGCAGTCTTTCCAAACTCCTATTAAAACATTTTAATCATCACTTTTTCCTTTAAAAATAGCTTCTCATTTGCATTAAGGCCATCTCTGTGATAGTTTATGTGGCATTTGTAAGTGTTCCACATTTCAAATCTCCTCTTGAGATAAACTCCCATATTTTGGTGTATCAGCAATCCAAAGTATCACAGCATGAGTGATTTCAAATTCCACTGATGGGTATGAAAGTATTTTGGAACGTTCATGTGGGTAAAAGATGATAGATAGCTTTTTTTCATGAAATTCTTGATATGTAATTTGAGGTGTGTGCGTGTGAGAGAGGGATACTGTCTGATGCATTTACATTGTGTGGAAAATAACAGTATTTGTACAAAAGAAAATAAAAGATTCTATTCTAATTTGACCTTTTATCTCAATGACTGTTTCTTTGGCTCTTTGCTGTCAAGTGTGGTTATACTAATGAAGGTTTACTTGACTTCCTTGGACTGTTCATAAAGTGCAGAGGAGAGTTGTCTTCAGGGACTGAAAATGAAATAGCACAAGCACTTTGAAATGGTTACACGTCTGTTCACTTACCATCTGATTCCACTGGGGCTCATCTCAGCCAAAGCTGAGAAAGCCTGCTGCTGAAGTGGCATTGTTTGCTTACCGCCAGCCTGGGCACACAAATTCAAGTTTGAGTGTGGGTGACATACTATTATGCCGTGATTGTGGAATAAAGAGATGTTTGAATGGTTGCTTTAAATAGTTTTCTATGCTTATTGTTACTTATTTTTGTAGTCCAAACAGGAGAAACGAACCTCAGGGAAAGGATCCAGGGAAGCAGATAGTGAAGTTGAGCGTACAGTTTACATCAGATAAAGCTGCTGATGGACAGGGTAAGGACTGTTTGTAGAGCGTTCACCAGAATTAATTTACCTCACTGATGTTTATCAGCGCTTTGTCTCCTACAAACAATTTGTCCTGCTTTGCTTAGAGAATAATAAGGCCAAATATAAAGACTGCAAACTTGGTTTGTAAGGGAGAAGGAATGTCCTTGGTCCTTAAAGGGGTTCTAGAAAAAGTCAGTCAACTCATGAAGAACTATGACTAGTTTGATCACAGCAGAGGAGGAGAACAGCTGACCTCACCGTGAATCCAACCAACATGCCTGCTGTTGAGGACTCAGGAGAAGGCTTGCCCCTCTGCGGCAGAGGTCACTGAGGTGGTAGAGAAAACGTTGCAGGGTGCCAGAGGTAGGTGAGATTCTGGATGCTTGGATACTTTTTCAGGGACATGATGAGATCAGGAACAAGGGACTAAAAGGCAGTCCCCCGTTACTGCAGATCCCATCCTGAACAGTGGACCAACTTTTGCAGGGACGCTGGAGGAATCATGGGCACACATTCAGCCTCTATGTTCATTGTGGAGTTGGAGAAGGCCTTGAATTGTGAGGTTGCTGTGGGTGCTATAAGCCTGGGTGCCAAGGGTCTAAAGAGTATTGTACGCTGTACAGACTGTAAAGTCCCATCAGGCTTGGCTTGACTACTGGAATAAGACCTGTGTAAGTCGAGTGTGTTCTCAGTCTGTGTAGGGCTCCACCAAAGCTGTGCATTGTCACTGATTCTGTCATTTCATGGACAGGATCTTAACATGCAGCTGAGATGTAGAGAGTCTTGTTTGGTAACCTCATGACTGCATCTCTGCTTTTTTCTGGGTGTCCTCTTTTCTGAAGCTGACAACAGCTAGATATTTTTGTCTTGGTGGCATGGTGGTCTTACTATAAACATTTATACCTATAAACTGGTTCTTTCAATAGGAAAAGCCTAAAAGTGTATATCCAAACAGGCCCATAGAAACAGAGCAGCCAACAGCGAGGTTATTGTGTGAATGTCCTTCCTGTTTACATGAGAGGAATATTAGAAACACCTTTGAATATAATGCAGTCCATCACTAACTATGACTTGAATGCTGAAACATAATTGAATGTCTCTATGACACTGTCAAACACTATAGGCATCATAAAAGTAGACTTTAAAGCAGTTTTGGACTGACTGTACACATTTTGGTTATAATAGTGACTATTTACATTACGAATTCAACTTGCATTTGGTTCTTTGAGAAAGCAGTTCTGAGAAGAAAAAAGTGTGCATACTGTGTGACATCATTGTTGCTAATAGTGTGAGCGCTTATGTAAATGACTTGTGTATGTAAATGGAGACGCTGAAAGCAGCAAGCAAAGAGCTCCAGTGGAATGCAGTGAGGCTTCGGAATTCAGCCTCTCTGCATGGTGACGTCTTTGTTGTCTGAAAATCATAGCAGGACAAATGCCATGTTTTTTTTTTTTTAAATCTTGGATATAGCTTTTGAAATGATGAATAGGCTTCCCTGTGACACACCATTTTGCTGTTTGACTCCTAAACTCCCTGCATCTTACATTTAAATGGTTTATTATCAGTAGTATAACATGAGATAACAGCTAAACCTGAAACAAAGCTCACACATACTGTATCACAGTGTGGTAAGTGCTCAGTTGCACCATCAGCACTTTGTACTGAGTGTAGCGCTGATCCCTGATGGGAGGCAAATGATCTTAGTAAGAACATGAAGTAAGACTGCAGTCTGCTTTTTAACATGATGGAGAGCAGCACTGGCACAGCCGGCACCCAAGGAATACAGTTTGCTATCGCAGGCAAATACATACTGTCAGCCGCACAAGCCTCTACATTTAGACATATTTACAATACAGGGATAATCCTGCTGTGGTCTCCATTCACTCTGTCAGGGCTTATGTGCAATAATGACCAGCTCACTGTACATAATCCTACTTATTACACAACTACTGTACCAAAGTGAACTGTAATGATTTGACACAAAAATATTGATTTAAAATGATCTTATTACTGGCTCACAACGCTCCTTCCACTTATTAGCAAGACTCAAACAAACATTAATGTCGTACCTGCAACAGAATCACTAAAATCTGTTTGTTAAACTTCTTGTATCCTCCAATCCAGGGGCCACAACCTCAAATCACCATCCTACGCTGAGAAAAATGAACTCCAGTGTGAACTCTCCTCTCCTCCATCCTCCTGCATACTGCTCTGATTAATTTAAGCAACATCAAAATGTTTCAGCAAATACCATATGTGTTGTGTTGATTTCTAACACCTATGATACAGCGTGCTGATGCATAAAGTAAGGAATTAGATAGAAACCATGTTTGTCTTCCTGCTCCCACCTGGAGAGCTGGCATTCAGGACTTATTTGTTTTGTTAAATACATTGTTGAGTTTGGCTTGTCTGTTTAGCTGCTCGCTGTTGCTTTAACAATCTGTGGTAACATTAGAAGCTTCTTTAAATAACAGTCACTTAGCTGTTGGCATAAAACCAACAGAAATTCCACAATTAACAGAACAGCCAGGACAAAGTGTCAGTGGAGGTTTCAGTGTGATGCCTGGTGTAAAGGGTTTATGGCAGCTAGTGAAGATGGACTGAGTCTGTTATCTTGAAACATAGTTCTTGGATTGCAACACTTCTTGGAACTGAGGTCGGACTGAGTGTCAGTGAAAACCTGGCATCTTTATAAGCACTGTCTGATTTTTTAATGGATGTCTATAGAGACCTGTACTCTTCTTGCCCTTTTGTTCCCCATTTTTCAGCTCTCCTACACTCTCTTAAAGAAGTTAGGGTTCTCATTGAGCCACGGCACTGCTTTTGTACTTATAAAGAGAATAGATGAAGGCACCAAATACAATGAATATATATTTTTTGTCCGTCAGTTACTTTTTTAGTTGGATATATGTCTTTTCTATTACCTTCTAATTCCTGTAAATAAGTATATTAAACTCAAGGGTAGTAAAACACATACTATTAAAAAGGAAAAAGCTAAGTTCGGTCTAGACCTGCTCT